GGTTTGTGTAGGTGAGTATGTGTGTTTGTTTATGAATGTGAAATGGCTGCTTTTAGAGTGAAATATGTCTTGTAATTTAATATTTTTAGGCGCAATTACACTTTCGTTAAATTGTTACTCACATGATTCGTTTTTGAGTGCGTCTTTTTCTATTTTTGTTAGTTAAATTTTTTTTCGTTAGCCATTTTCCTTTTATACTTTTTTCTTATATGAATACAAATTGTAAAAAAACTTTTTTTAGTTGCTAACTGAAATATTCGCAACATTCATTCTTAAAGGCGTGACCCTAAGAAGAAAGTAACAAAAATATTTTCGGTTGTTAAAATTTCACAAGTAATTGAAACGTTTCGTTATTAAAAACAAAACCTTAGCGATTGCGGTTCCTCAAAAAGTTTTCTGATTAATATTATTATATATGGATATTTCCTAAAGACTTTTCTTATAAAAGCTAATATGATATAGGAAGGTTTCTTAAAATAATTAATATTATTTAAAAAAATTTGAAGCATTTATATTACTACTAATATCACACTAATGGAGTAATATTTGGTTCACTTACAAAAATAAAAAATTCTCAATTAGTGCTAATTTAGCATTCGCACAGCACTCTGCTAGTTTTTTTTATTATTAAAATTAGAATTTACTAATAATGAAAGATTATTTAATAATCACTTTATGAATATAATTTTTTCTGAGTGTCGACTTTTCATCCCATTACGCTATGGATTAAGATTAAAGATCAGAATAGTCCCCTGTACCTTTAACTAAAAAGCTATGAGAATCTTGATTCCAAGCTAACAAAGAATAATGTACTAAATGATGTAACTCTGGAAAATCCAAATCACTATTCTTTCTAAATGTCTATAATTCACGTTTTGAATTAATCTAAGCTTGCCACAAAAAGTATGGTGCAGTTAAGATAAGATTCACATCAGTACCAGGAATCCTTCCGCATTGATAAAATAAGGCCAAAACAAGATTCAAAGTGTGCAGTGAAATTTAAATGAGCTGAGCCATCAAACAAAAGAACCAAGAAGAAATGACAAAGTGGGGTCTGAACAGTTATCCAAAGTATTCAATGTGATTTCAATAAGCTTCGGCCAATCAATAGCAAGAATCAAACAGATATGTCAAAATAGGGTCTAAACTCAATTCAAAGTGTTAAATGCACTTTCAATAAGCTGTGCTATCAACAGCAAAAACCAAGCATAATTACAAAATACGGTCCAAATAGCAATCCAAAGGGCCCATTAGATCACCTGGAATAAACTATCGTTAACATTCTAGATGATTACACATGCTTTTTTGCAAAAGCCGCGGTGATCGATCTGCATGTAATGGCTACTAATGCGATATACTGTCTTAATTAATACAATAATATATATTGTAGGTTCCTAAACTTAGTAAAAAGAGTGAATATCTAAATTACGAGTCACTTGCTTCACGTTAAAATCCGTACCTCTGTGGTGTATATACATCACAACTTTTTTGTTTTTTGATGACAATTCCTAATATATTATCTATTAAATATTCCATTTACATCTATCCATTGAATATAGGTCTTTTTTTAAAAATTTTTTATTCTATTCACAACTTCGATTTTCCCTTAAATCGATAATGTCGAAATTTTTTGTATTTAGGAAGATTGTTGATTAGTTCATTAGTAGTAGAACAATTAAATCTGGGTAGGCCTAAGGATTGGTAAAGAAAGTTTAGATATACCTTTTTCACTTCTCTATGTAGTTTATGGCTTTTGGAAAAAAGGTAATTCTCAATTTTGTGGCATGAATGCTTATTTGGCAATGGCTTATTAAAAACGCAATCAGATATCCATACATCAGCAATCTACGAAATCTTTATTCCTGGTGAATTGTAGATCGGACATGACACATTTTGTGACATGGTAGGTACCCATTGGTTTATCAAAACCACTTACCACTTTAATATTAGCTCAACCCATGATCATCCTTCCTCTTGATAGATTACAGAATAGATATGTGAATTTACATACGGTTTTCCTTATTCTCGATAGATTTCTGTAGATTAGGGATGTCAACCTACATTTTTTGCAGCTCGCCATGTGGCAACTTAATTTTTGACATTGGTTCTATTTGTGAATGGTCTAAAAGCAATAAGATTTCCTATCTTCAAACTAACACTATTCATACTAACCTAGCCAGAGCTGTATCAAAAACTTATACAGCTGCTCAACCCTTTTGTGTATTAAACTGGGCTAGTGCAAAACAAATAATCAAGCAGAGGGAGAATCGTTTGCGACTGGTGTACTGGGAAAAAATTATTCCTAGGTTTTAACTACGGGTCATTATGGTCTGAAATATCACCTACATAAACTTCGATTATCGTCTAATTCAGAATGCAGATTATGCCTCGAAGAGGAGGAAACTACTATGCATATTCTTTGTGACTGTCCAGCTTTAACAACGCACAGAAGAAATTTATTTTATATTGTGTTTCTGTCACCGGAACAGATTAATAGCTCTTCTGCAGATTTAGTTCTGGACTTTGTTCACAAAGCTTTAAAGGGGTTAGTGTAATTAAAAGTGTATTTGGTACAATAGGACTCTTCTGGCCACATTAGCGGCTATTGGGCGATTTCACAACAATAGTTTTCAAAATAATAATAATCCATGGTGATCTTTGTCCTCTGTAAATTGTCGATTTTGTAGACTACTTTGGTATTCTATATATGTCTTTCATATATTATACATTATTGTTTAGAATGAATCTTAAAGTAAGGTAGGTGTACGTACGTTCCAGTGGAAACCAAACATTGCGGAGTTGTAATAAAATAATATCTGAAATGAAAACTGTTAAAACAGTTTATTTATATATATATATATATATATATATAAAATAGTAACAAAAAAACCCCAGACAATTAGTAATAATACTAGTTTTAACAATAAAAAAAAATATCAGGAAATAATAATAATTGATAAGAAAATGTTTATTAAAAATTTTTAGTGTTAATATTAATAAGTGACTAACATATGTGGATTAAAAATTGTTGAAAGGTTAAAGGTTTTCTTTCTTTCTGAATTCTAAAAAGAAACAGAAACAGTTTTTCACATTAATTAATTGGTTTTCACCATTTGATAAATTACTTTTTATTAAAATTTAAAGTTTTTTTGACTTTATGCATTTCGTAGTGCGACAAAAAAATTTCGTAAAAAGTGCGCATCTCACATGCAAGATTCATATCGGCCAGTCCGATGAAACAGGAATCTTCACGGTTGTATCTTGTTTTGGTTTTGTTTAAAACAGCTACCAAATACGTACAAGACTCTCTTCTCTCCGGAGAAACTGACTGGTTGCCTGCTTCTTCTTCGGTTATTCCAAAGACGCTGACAGGCTGTAAAGCGTAAGAAGGAGTTTGCGTTAGCACGGCACTTAGCCGTGATGACGACTCTGTGGTTCTGAAGAATGCTGCTTACTTTCAAGCATTTCCTCCGCTTCTTATTATTTTGTGCACAAACGTATTTTCTTTTTTATATAATTTTGCAAAGATTCTATAGCCGCGACAACAAATGAAAGGTAAATTTTAGTGTGTAACTGATTGTCCACTTGGCGAGAGGTCAGATACAATTTCGTTTAAGCCGAAGTGCCGTTCGTTCTACATAATTCCGCTGACAAAACGGAGTTTGTATCGACATATCGGTAAAAATTATAATTATTGTGCCTCGCAAATGATGAATTAATTGCATAAAAAGCACGAAAAGCACAAAAAATTGTAATTTGTTAATAAACAAATT